AAAGAAAGAAAGAAAGAAAGAAAGAAAGAAAGAAAGAAAGAAAAGAAAAAAAGGGACAATAATCTCTTCTCTCTAATTCTAAAGTTATGATGAGGATCAGGTAAGTTGACAGGCATAAAGGCACCAAGAAAGTATGAAGAAAGAAAATCCTTGCCTGAGTCTTCAGGACTAGGAGTATTCGGCTGTGACCACCTCCCACCCCCTTTCTTCTCTTCCTGATTCATTTTTTCTTAGTTCCCTCAGGTTCTGTCTCCTTTCCATCTGCCCTCAGCAAATCCAACAAGATTCTGTCTGGTACATCAATGTAGTGTGGGGGAAGAAAAGATCCTGTCTGGGTAAAGGATCAGTGAACAGTCATTTACACCTGAATGTGAGTTTCAATCCTCATTCCTTCTGCCAGACTTTGGCTCCACTCCTTGTCTCTGATTGTGGTGGGAAGGGCTTTATGGCAGTGGTTCTCAGCCTCAGCAGGCCCCACATGGCAGGTTCCTGAGCCATGCCCTGAGATTTGGGTTCTGCAAGTTTGGGTCAAGACCTAGAAATCTACCTTTTAATGAGCAATTCATACAGTGAATCTGAGCCAGCTGCTCTGCTCATGGGGCCTGGAAGAAAACTGATTTCTGGAGTTAGTGCTTTAGGAAGAGATGGGGGACATGGTTAGGGTGGCCAGGGGATCCCACTGAACTTGCACCAACACCGAGGCCCCCAGTCTTCCCAGGGCAGGTCTCCTGTGGGCATCAGAGAAAGTCATCACTTTGTCAACAAGAGTAACAATTGCCGCCATTATTATAAAGCCTTTTATTCTAGCCATCCCTTCCCAAAACCTGAGAGGGGAGGTGGGACCGTTCCTAGTCCTGAAGTATCAAGTTGAGGCCTCTGGAAGCCACGTGATTGGTCTCAGTCCTCCTGAATGATTGTAGCAGATGGGAACCCAAGTCAATGCATTTCCCTTTTGTCCGTTGTTGATCATGGGACCAATGCTGTTAGTTGCTGTTTTCACAGAGACCGGGGGCCAAGGGAGGCTGGGTGGAGGGTGGAGGATGGAGGAGGGAAAAGAAGGTAGGAAATAGTCACCGGGGAGGGTGATTGAGCCAGGGATCTATCATGACATTGCCAGGATGCCGGGACCCACTTGGGGGGCACAAACATGAATTACAGTAATATATGACAGAATGGGTGAGTCCAACCTCACATCCTTCTCTCTCATTTTTGGCTTTCCAGAAGCGCCCCATTGTCTAGGGAGGCAGAAGAGGACACCACCTGGGCAGGGTGCTTCCGTAGCAACCAGACACCCAAAGGTCACCCTGGCCATCTTCAGCGCACCCTCCCAGCACTCCCATGGGCCCTGCCAGCCTGAGCTGCACCCCTTCCCCTCCTCCTGCCCCCTCATCCATCTTGTGTCCTGCCTCAAACCTGAGCCAAATCTATTTTCTAGGGGCCGATTATGTCTCCAGATAAGAAAGAGTTAAAACAGAGCCGTCCAGAGCTGGCACAGTGGCTCACGCCTGTAACCCCAGCACTTTGGGAGGCCAAGGTAGGAGGGCCTCTTGAGTCCAGGAGTTTGAGACAAGCCTGGCCAACACAGCGAGACCCTCATCTCTAAACAAAATAATTTAAAAGTACATTTTAAAAAATTATTTTAAAAAAAGCCATCCGGCCAGGCACAGTGGCTCATGCCTGTAATCCCAGCACTTTGGGAGGCCAAGGCAGGCAGATCACGAGGTCAGGAGATCGAGACCATCCTGGCTAAGACAGTGAAACCCTGTCTCTACTAAAAATACAAAAAATTAGCTGGGTATGGTGGCAGGTGCCTGTAGTCCCAGCTATTTGGGAGGCTGGGACAGGAGAATGGCATGAACTGGGGAGGCGGAGGTTGCAGTGAGCCGAGATTGCGCCACTGCACTCCAGTGTGGGTGACAGAGCGAGACTCCATCTCAAAAGAAAAAAAAAAAAGCTATCCAACAGTAAAACAGGCTGACCTAGGAGACAGCCCACCTCTCTCCCTGGGGTATGTGGCAGCAGCTGAGAAGAGGTGTTAGGGAGAAAGGGGCAGATTTTGGGTTGGGGAGGAACTGCATTCGTTGACCTTGGAGTCTGCAGATCTGTGTTTTCACTTCAGGCTCAGACACACTCTAGCGGATGACATCAGCCAAGTCCACTCGTATGTCTGAACCTCAGTTTCATCTCCTGTAAGATGGGAACGGTGATGGGGCCCAGCTCCTAAGGTTGCTGTGGGATTCACTGAGCTCATGTCCTCACTGCTTGGCATAGTGAGCTCTCGGTAGTGGGAGCTGTTGCCGCTTCTTTGCAACCCAAAGAAATCTCAGTCTGAAATAGCCAGTGTAGGAAGGAAAGAACATTGATCAGAGACTGATTGGGGCAAAGAGAGGAGATGGTGCTAGAAGCGAAGGTCTCAGGCAGCCCAGCTTGCTGAGCAGGTTAAAGGTGAGACTCTTTTCCCCAAAGCACTGGGCTTTCAGCATGGGTCACGTCCATGTGAACACACTCTGCCACTTGGCCGCCTCGCTGCCTTGGACAAGGCTGTCGCCCTCTCTGCAGAGTTCTCCCGTGGAGCCTATCTTTCCAGCTTTCCTAACACGTGCAGACGCTCTAGAGTTTCCAAAGCATTTTGCACACAAAAGCCTCTTTGGACCCACCCAACAATTCTTACTTGTGATGAAGGTATAATTATTTCCATCTTTCAGATGAGGAAACTGAGTTGAAAGAGGTTGCAGAGTTGGGACTCAGGTCTTCTCTTCCCAAAGTACTGGATTACAGATGTGGGCCACCGGGCCTGGCGGGCTCAGGTCTCTTATTCCTGATCCAATCAATGTTTCTAATGAATCCAAGCTGCTGCTGCTGCTCTAGATAAATTAGGCCCCATAGCAAACTTGTCAAGTGATCGTGAGCAAATCACCGTCCTGAGCCCTAGAAGCTCTGCCTGCAGGTGAAGATGAACTTCATGCCGTCTGGAGGCCTCCTCCCTATCTATCTATCTATCTATCTATCTATCTATCTATCTATCTATCTATCTATCTATCTATCTGAGATGGAGTCTCACTCTGTCACTGAGGCTGGAGTGCAGTGGCACGATCTCGGCTCACTGCAATGTCTGCCTCCTCGGTTCAAGTGATTCTCCTGCCTCAGCCTCCTGAGTAGTGGGGATTACAGACATGCGCCACCAGGACCAACTAATTTTTGTATTTTTATTAGAGATGGGGTTTCACCATGTTGGCCAAGCTGGTCTTGAACTCCTGACCTCAGGTGATCCACCCACCTTGGCCTCCCAAAGTGCTGGGATTACAGGTGTGAGGCAACATGCCCGGCCTTATTTATTTTATTTTTTTTTAACTCAGTCCCAACCCTCCCTTTTTAATAAAATGCTGGACTGGTACTCTGTGGTATTCACTCCTTAGGCAGGGGACTATCTCCTCTAACATGGGCAGGGCTAGTAGGGAAGAGGGACCAAGAAGGTGGCTCAGTTCCTCCCCAAACTGTCTCCAGCCTTGGGCTTAGCACTCCAAGCCACAGGTGTGGCTACTCTGGGGTCAAAACAATGCTCCAGGCTGGCACAGCCGGACTCCGCGTTCCTTTCCTCCCGGGCCGCCCAGGTCCCCCGTCAGCATGCCTGGCTGCTCCCCAGGGAGCACGGCAAACAAGCCTCTATTGATTCTCCATCTTGGCTAGAAGAATGCCCCTTTGTTGAGCACGTCACCCTCCCCCTCCCCGTGTCCTTGTCCTCAGGGGAGGAGTTCAGGTAGGAGGCAGCAGGCCACAGCTCCTTCCCCAGGGACCCAAGAGGAAAGCAGGGGCAGAACACCGCTCCAGCTCCTGGAGGAGGCCTCCACATCCCACCCTTTTCCCTTCTCCTCTCTGCCGATCTTGGGCACTGTTGCCCATCACCCTGGTTACCCGGTCATTACTCATGGGAGGTCCAGTCCCAGATCTCTCAGTGCTAAAACCCACTTCAAGGTCCTGCTCGAATGCCCACTGTTCCATGGAGCCCTGCTAGAATGGGAACCTGCCAAGGTGAGGCTGTACACCTGTGCCCAACCCAGAAATAGGTCTAGAGGGGCATGTCCCAGTCTCAAGGAATAAATTAACCAATTTCTGCGAATGACGCTACCACCTTCCCAGTCACCCAGGCCTGGAACCTGACCAACCCAATGCCGGGTTGGTTATAAGCTCTGTTGGTTCTTATTGGAAGCCACTTAAACTCCTTAATTTGGACTTCACAGCCCTCTGTTTGGCATCAGCCTGCCCAATCGCATCCCATGTGACCCCTCCTTCTGCTGGACTCTCTACTGCTTATCCATCCACCTACTTTAACCCTGTTTATTGAGCCTATATTATGTGCTGCCATTGCTCTGGGAACTGGAGATGTTGCAGTGAATGAGGTGGAGCCCCCTCCCTCAAGGATCTCACAGTCTCTTTGGAGCAGACAGGCAATAAACATGTACACAAATGACAAATTGTATAGTATCAGAGTATGCTAAGTGCTCTGAAGAAAATCACACAAGTCAAGAGAATAGGGCATGATATAGATGTGTGGGAACCATGAGGAGGCCACTGAGGTAGAGTGAGCACAGTGACCAGAAGGGCTGGGAATCGAGGTCCCAGAGGAAGGGCCATGGTGAAGAGTGAATTTTCTGAGGGACAGGCGTGGTCCAACACTTTGGGAGGCTGAGGCGGGTGGATTGCTTGAGCCCAGGAGTTTGAGACCAGTCTGGGCAACATGGCGAAACCTGGTCTCTACAATTTTGTGTGTGTGTGTATATATATGTATGTGTGTGTATACATACACACATTATACATTTTATGTATTTTTTACATATATATACACATACGTGTGTGTGTGTGTGTGTGTATAAATATATATAAATTAGCCAGGTGTGGTGGTGTATGCTTGTAGTCCCAGCTATTTGGGAGGCTGAGGTGAGAGGATCCCTTGAGCTTGGGAGGTTGAGGCTGCAGTGAGCCAAGATTGTGTCACTGCACTCCAGCCTGGGTGACAGAATGAGACTCTCTCTAAAGAAAAGTAAAAAAAACAAACAAAAACAAAAACAAAAACAACTTCCATGGGGTGTGATGGAAAGCTACTGTCCTGTCTGTGTGCCATGCCCATTCCTCCCAGCTTCGTCCCTCTGGGCCTTTTCTCTGAATGACCTCCCCAAGCCTCTCCAGCATCCTTGTTATACTTAGATTTCAGGACCCAAGGCCAGTCATGCCATCATTCTGAAGCCTTCCTTGTTTACCCCAGGCCACATTCATCTCTTCTTCCAAATTCCTAAGATGGTACCTTGGGTCCTGGGGCTTGACTGGACTTCAAGTTCAAATTCTCAAACATGTACTCTGCCCCCACGTCATGCCCATCACTGTGCTGGTGCCACACGTAGGTAACTCATCCAAGCCTTGCCACCTTCCCATGAGGTTCGTAAATTATGCCCAGCTTTTACAGATGGGTAAACTGAGGCTTGGAGCGGTTAAGCAACTTATCTGTGGGCTCACATATAAGGAATGGTGGAGGCAGGATTTGAATGCAGCATCTGATCCCTCAAGTCCAGCTTCATTCTCACTAGCCCTCAGCCACTTCTGCCTTTAGCTAATTTGATCGTGGTCCTCAGGGGTCCCCAGACCTGCCCCTAATCTCCTTCCCCATCTTCACTTCTGCATGATCCTCAGCACCCAGGAATCACCGCAGTAGGCACCCTGCACTTCTCCATGCCCCCTGCCAGGGGGATGTGGCACTTGCAGAGTGAATGAGCGCCCCTAGGGTGACAGCCAAGGCTGCCCATACCTCTCTACTCTCCTGCAGTGGGTTCCTACAGGGAGCCACCAGCCATCCAGTGGAACTAGGGGCCAACGCTTCAGAAGAAGCTGCTATATGCTAGAGTTATGTTATTGTCAATATGACTCTTTCTTCCAGGCCTGTGCATGATGGCATGGGAATAGTCATAACAGCCTTTACTACAGCAACTCTTCACTGGCACCAGCCCATCTTAAGCTTTTCCATTTTGGATTAAATTTAGGATGTCAATAATAATAACAACAATAGCTTTTTTTTTTTTTTTTTTTTTTTTTGGAGACACGGCTCACTCTGTCACCCAGGCTGGAGTGCTGTGATCTCTGCTCACTGCAGCCTCAACCTCCCAGGCTCAAGTGATCCTCACAACTTCGCCTCCCGAGTAGCTGGCAAACAGTTGTGCACCACCACACCCGGCTAATTTTTATATTGTTGTTGAGATGGGATTTTGCCATGTTGCCCAGGCTGATCTCAAACTCCTGGGCTCAAGCCATCTGCCTGCCTGGGCCTCTCAAAGTGCTGAGATTACTTGCTTGTACCACCATGCCTGGCCAACAATAGCTATTTTATCAAAAATATACAAAATGAAAGGAAGCTGCTGGGCACTTTATGTACACTATTTTATTTAATCCTTACAGCAATCCTAGGATGCAGGTTTGATTATTATGCCCATTTTACAGATATAGAAACTGAGTCTCAGGCAGGCAAAGCAACTTGCCTGAGGCCACAGAGCTGATACATGCTGAAACTCAAATCCCAGCTCTACCCTGAGGCTGGTGGACCTCCAAGTCCTTGATCTCAACCTCTGCACCCAGTTCTACAACCAGATAGGTGTTCAGGAGATCCATCACAGGCAGTGGGTAGGTGAGGAAGGCTTAGTTACTGGGGCTTCTCAGAGAGGTGCATACAACCAGGGAAGCTCAAAGCACTGCAGGGACACTGGTCTGAGTGTTAGGAGCCTGGGTCCAGGTCCTGGCTTTGCCTCCTCCCAGCTGTGTGTCCTTGCTTATGTTGCCTACCCTCTCTGCACCTTTATTTCCCCAGCTGTGAAATGGGTGGGTAATAGATTCGCCCTCCAAGCCTGGTGTAAGAAGGAAGTATGATAATGTCTGTGAACATGGTTTGAGGCCCTGAAGCACCACGCTTAGTGCATTATCATCCATTTCCTGAACTTCTAGAATGAGTGAACAGTGAGAGAATCAGGAACAGCATCGGGAGAAGGAGGAGAGGAAAGTGTTGGATCAGGCTTTCTCTGGGTACAGAGAGGCAGGTAAATGTCTTGCTCAGCCAACCTCACATGACAAGAGGAACCTGCTAACTAGGTCACCTTGCAGGAGGAAAGAGCTATTCCGGGATCCGCCTGCAGTTGCAGAGCAGGAGCTGGGGAGCTGAGCTGGCTATTTCAGGGGTGGCACAGAAAGCTCATCCGACAGCTCTCCCTTGGATCTCGGCCCTGCCTTGGGCCTTGGGCCTTAAGAGGCCGGGAGATTCTAGTGGACACTGTGCTGGCACTCTCTGCATGGCTGCCCTCAGGCAGGGGGATCCATCAGGCCATCTGGAACCATCACAGCACGATCTTCCCCATCCCCTGGGAACCACCATCCCAGGCAGCTGTAGGTGAGGGCAGCAAGATGCTAGACTTGCATTTCTCAGCCTGACTGGGAGTCTCAGCTCCTGAATGCAATAGTCCTGCAACACCAGGCAGTTTGCTCTAGCATTCTGGGCCTGGGTTTCCTCACTTGTAACACGGGGATAATGGTGCTTATGTTCCAGGACTGTCTGAGGATTAAATGAGATAATGACATAAAGCACCAAGCGTAAGGTCAGGCCCAGAGGAAGTGCTTGATAAATGGGGAGTGTTTCTAACTGAGCTTCTGTGGCATTCCATGCTGCAATCGTGATGGTGGGGAGGGGATGCCTGAGAGAAGGCTGCACCTTGTGGGATGAGAGTACGGGCGGAAGGAGAGGTTATGCCGGAGAAGTTGAGCATTTGAGACTCTGGTTCAAAGAGAAGAATCTTTTGGGAGGAGACTGGGGCTGTGAGGTCAGTGTGACCCAGGTGAGAATTGCTCAGCTCCCTGCAAAATGAGGCTGAAAATACTTAGCTCTTATGATCTGGCAAGAAATAAGTGAGTTAACGTAAAGCCTTTATTTAGCATAGTGCTTGGCACCTAGTAGGTGCTCAAGAAAAGGCAGCTATTATTGTGTTATCTCATTTAGTCCTCATAGCAACCTTATGAAGAAAGTATTACTATCTCCATTTTATAGATGAGGAAATGGAGGCACAGAGAGGTTAAGTAATTTACGCAGGGTCTCATAGTGAAGAAGCCGTTTTTACTAAGATTTGAATTTAGTCTGACCTTGGAATTTGCACTTTTTTTTTTTTTATTTTTATTTTTTGAGACGGAGTCTCGCTCTGTCACCCAGGCTGGAGTGCAGTGGCCAGATCTCAGCTCACTGCAAGCTCCGCCTCCCGGGTTTAGCCATTCTCCTGGCTCAGCCTCCCGAGTAGCTGGGACTACAGGCGCCTGCCACTTCGCCC